AACAAGTATCTATATAAACCTAAGAGTGCAGAACACATATTGAGTTAGTAGAAAAATAAAATTAACAAAATCCACATACTTTAAATAAGGAGGATCAACAATATATAAGGAAAAATAAAGAGCCTTAAGAAAAGAGGGCAGTTCATACCAAAAGCTATCCTGTTAAAAGTCTCAATGGTTTCTGGATTTTTCTCTAAACTACTGACCAAATTATTTACATACCAAAACTGAGAGGCACTGAGAAGCAAGGGAGGCCCATTAGACACATGCTGTCTAATAATGGCTGAAAGAAGTGTCTCAACCATCCAATTCTGGTATTTCTAAACATTCCACCTGTCCAAAAGGGCTTAGCTTCCTATCACTGAGAGACTACCCCATATTCTGTAATATAATACATAGTGGGATAAATCTTCTAATCCTTATTTAAAACACTGTGTTTCTGGTGGAAAAGTCATGGAAAAAGGAACTTTTACTACATCACGTTACTCAAATTTCACTGAAAGGACATCTATTAGGGAGCCCTTCCACTAATTTTCACAGATAATTTAGTCTGTTTGCACCCCTTACCATCACGTCCTGATATCAAGACCTCTAAGGTATTCATACTTAGGACACATCTAAGAAAGAATTTAAATTCTCCCTCACAGATTATTTATGCAAAACCATCTTTAGCACAATGTCTACCCAAATAAGTTTCAAAAACCAAAATACTTTTCAAGCAGAATATATGGTTCATAAAAGTGTGCTCAATGTCCCAATATTATGAACTACATCTTTATCAGACCACATGTGTTTAAGATATCGCAAACCCAAATCCCTAGGCTAGTCTAAGCAGCAATCCTTAGCCTCCATTAAAAGGTATTCCTTACTAATAATTATTCCTCTTCCCAAAAGTTTTACCTCAAGGATTAGATACTTATAAAATACTGCATATCATAAACCCAGCAGACTCAATAATAAATTCTACATTCAATGGAAATATAAATACACAAAACTTAACAGACTACTAAAAAACTGCAAGATGCTTCCACTTTTAGAAAGCAAACTTTAAGCCATTATTTAGAAAAGTGGGTTTTCACATCTTAGTGTCACTGACATAAACAGAGAAAGAACAGTCCCATTAGACAGATACCCCAAGTAATGAACCTGGAAAATGCTGACTAGGTTATAACTTTAAGCCCAAGGAACATCATTGCTCTTTTAAATGACCAGTTGAAACAGCTATTCTTGTCACTGCCTGAAAAGGTCCTCTCCAATAGCCTACAGTCTACTGCTCCTTCCCTTTCAACATGTTTAAGCAAAATATTTTAACAGCGTATCTCTATTCTTATGATAGAGGAGAGGCATGCCAACACTGGACAATCAGATTATCTAAATGCATGATTCATACACATGGCCCCTAAAATAACATAATGTGTCATTTTACACAGCTGCATTACCTGGACTATTTTTAGGCCCTCCTAAATGCTTTATATTTGTTATATATCCAAGAGGAGGCTGCAGGGGGAGTGGGGCTGCTGAACTACTCTGATGTATGTTGATAATTTTTTAAAAATTAACAATAAACAAATGGGCTATAAAGCAACAGAAATCTAACTTTTTCCTGAACTCCCAGTGAGTAGCCCTTCCTAATTCCCTAACTTTAGTCAAATACTGTTCCTTGAAAGGGGCAGCCTACCAGAGCCCCTGCACCGATTTCATTGTGCCAATACGTATGCTCTCCCCAAAACCAAGGAGAAACAATCCATTTTCTAGGCTAGTACTGTCGAGCTACAAACAAAAGCTTTATTTTCTAGACGAATGGAGGCCAAGGACATTCCATGATTGGCCTGAGTCCAAAGTCACCATGTCCCAGAGTCACCATGTCTCAGAGATCTTCCTGGCATGCTACAACATGCTAAAGAGTCACCTTCACAGACCCAGCTCATGTCCCACACAGACAGGGAGCACTCTAATCCCAGGGTTCCCACAGCCCTGCACATCTGCTGCACATCTGGAGCCCTTGACCTAAATGCATATTCTTGTTACATGCTGGCATACATTTGTCAAAACTGTGCATTTTACTTTGTGGAATTATGCCTCAACAAAATTTTTCAAACTGAAAGATGCACACTTCTTTGCAGGGGGTGAAGTTTCTGAGTGATTCTGAGCACCACTGTTCTGGACTACATCGCATGTCCCTTCCCTCACTCCACAATGGGGAAAGCTAAGAACATGTGTCTTAAGTCAGACAATTAGATGGAAACACCACTGCATTACTAATTCACAATATGCTCTTGGACAAAGGAACAATTTCACTGAGCCTGTTTCCTCATCTGGAAACTGAGGATAAAAAAATACCTACCTCACAGGATAATTGTGAGACTTAAATAATATGTTTATAAAATATAAAATATCTGGCATAGTGTCTAACACTAACAATTAAGCACTGTTACCATCATTAGCATCTTTGCTTCCACCATTTTAAATCAATCTTTATTTGGCACTTCTCACAGTCCGGTGAGACATACTCTAACTAATTTAAAACTTTTGAAGAACTTCTTAGACACACACATGCCTAGCCTCATCGTTAACGGCTGTAAATCTGGGATGAGGGTAGGTTTGGCAATCACACTGCTCCAAGGAACATGTGTTTGTAGAACATGACTATAACCAGGGCCCACAAGCATTTCTAAGATAAACTGAATAGCCCCTTCTATTCATGTTTCAAATGACAACTAGTTTCCCACCTTTATAGACAAGTAGTGTAAAGACGTCAGAACAAGGTTTTCTAAACTCCTAAGAAAGGTGATACCCACCCCATACCTGACTCACCCAACAATAAATACAGAGATTTGGTCTTTACTGAATTCTCTCAAAATTAAAACCAAAGTATATTCATGGACAGTTCAGCAGTCAACAAACAGGCTGCCTCTACATTTAAGAGGTGTACCCTTGGACAGCAGAGGAAGAGCAAATGGGAGAAAGAATACGTTTATTTTTTTAGCAGGTCTCATTACCTGAGAGACAGCTCTTCATGATTTATCAGTAAGCAGTGAAGGGACCACGCCAAACACCAGACACCAAAACAGCAACAACAACAAAAAAATTTTACAACACGAGTATCTGTCATAGTTCCTTAAAAGACACTTCAAAATCACCTCATATACCATCCCGAGCAACCCTCACACCTCATACAGTCCTAAACAAGTTGTTTTGCCGACTGGCCACTGAATAAGAGCTTGTTAAAATCCACCTTCTCACTGGCCTCCCCCGATTTTGACTCAAAAGAGAGAACTGGATGCAGGCAATCTCCATTTTTAACTCCCAAGGTCGTTTTCACACTCAAAATTTGGAAGTACTTTCACATCACCTAGAAATTTTCACCTCAAGTAAAAACCTTGAACACAAAAGACTGTGATTATGCTTGGTCTTAAAAAAAAGAGCTAATAGGACATAACCAATTTAATAAAGCAGTGGTTAAAGCTGGAATTCCTTAACTTACATTTCTGTTCCACCAATCACTAGCCATTTGAAACTGGGCAAACATGCCCCAGTTTTCTTATCTGTAAAATGGAACATTGCCACCTACCTCACAGTTGTGAGAGCTAATAAGTTATTTATTAAAAGATCTCAGAAAAGTGCCTGAAAAAAGACAATTAAAATTTTTTTTTAATTTTTAGATTTTTAAAAAAAGATTTTAATTTTAATTTTTAATTTTTAAGAGTACCTGACCCATGTAAACACCCCAAAAGGCAATACACATTTAGAATCTTCGTGGCCAACAGCCACAAGCAGCTCACTGACTATATACCTGTGATTCTTATTTGCTGATGGAATCTACAATCTCTAATGATGCAGTACAAAACCACGAAGCAATGTTTTCCAACGCTTAAACATCAGGTGCTCCTCAAATAAAACACAAGCCAGGTAAGTGGCTCTAGGCTTGGTAATAGATTGAGAGCTGGTATTTCCCAAATCTATCAAGACAAAAGAATTAAAAACTCCCAAACTTTTCAAAGCAAAATAAGCCTACATTTAACATTTAATCATCCAAATCAGAGAGGGTAAATCAAGTGGGTGGATGGACTAAGGTCTAAGGCTATGCAATAAAGACCTCACATTCATCCTGCCTTTCTCTCACTCTCATAATTTGCACTTAAAGCAAGTACTTCCTGAAACAGGAATTTGGCAACAAGAAAAAAAAGTCTCAGCACATGTAAAATGCCACTGTACTGTAAAGCTCACATTACAGTCTCAAGGCAGCAGATCTTTCAACAGCAGCAATGGCTGCTATACAGAAGACTTGAACTGAAGACCTGGAAAGGGGAGAAAATGCTTAGACTAGACCACAACGCAGAAAAAGAAACCTGATAAAATGGAGAAACTGATTCTCTGGAAAGTGTTCAACTTCCTAAGGCAAGAGTCCCTCAGAAGAAAAGGCCTAATGCCCACAATCCTGAATCGTATCAGCAAATAGATGTATGGGTGAGAGGTGACCCGAATTCTCACGGGAGGAAAAACAGTTAAGTGCACAGACCACAGAACCCAGTTTTAGGTCTGTAGCAACGCCAAGGTGCAGTTAACCATTTTCCAGGTAAGCCCGAAATCTCCAGACAAAGGTTTAACGTCGTCGAGAACAGCTCTTTGGAAACTCAAGGTCAAAGGACAAGGGGGAGTCAAAGGGTTTGGGGGCGGAGAGGAAGTGGAAATTGGTCCACAGAACAGAATGATGTGACTCTCGGGCAAAGAATGCTTAAGCTAAGAGGGAGGAAAGGTCCTAGGGAAAGGCCCTCCACTCGGACAACCGGAAAGCGCGGACAACTGCAGGCCAGGGCCAGGTAAAGGCCGAAACCCGAAGCCCCTGCGTTTGAACACGAGGCCTCTGGCCGAGTGTCAGCCATGCACAAACCTGAGACCACCGTGCGGGGGCACTGTCCCCGCGCGAGCGCGCGGGAAAAACGGCTGCCAAGCCGGAAGGGGGCAGGGCGAGCCGCTAGGGCGCCCCGCCGGGCACTTACGCGGCCGCTTCTTCCGGAGGCTTTCGACGCGCTGGCGGGAGACCGAGGTAGAGCCGCTGTAAGAGCCGGGGTGGTCCCGCCTCACTTCCTCCGCGGAAGCTGCGGCCGCGGCCCCAGCCCCGGCCCCGACGGCGGTCTCCGACGCGCTGCTCGCCCGGCGCCGCAGCGGCTCCCGCCGCCGCCCATCCGGCCCCCCGGGCGCTGGCTCCCGAGCCGATGAGGCGGAGGTGGCGGCGGCGCTGCCGTGGCGCTCCATGGGCGCGCCGAGCCGACCCACTCCCATCCGCAGCAGCCGCCGCTGTCCCGCTAGCCAGCTTCCCAGCACCGAACCCTTCTGCCGCCTCCTCCCCGGCAGTCCAGCCAGAGCAGAGGCTCATCCTCTCCCGACCGCCTCTTCCGTTGCGCCAACGCACAGGAAACCAATCTAAGCAAGCTGGGGGCGGCCCGGAAGCCGTATGTCCAATCGGCTCCCTGACTCGAGGCGGATCGCCCGCGCCCCCGTCCAATGAGAGGCTCCCACCACAGGACAGGGCGGGGAGCAACGGGGGAGGGGGCCCGGGCTCGGCGGAGGAGGAGAAGGTGGTGCTGGCGAGGACCGAGTGATGGCGGCGCCGCCCAATGGACGCGTGGGGGTTGGGGGGCCGGCACCCCCTCCTCCCACCGCTCCCGTCCACACGGGCGAACAGGCCCGCGCCCGGGGCCGCAGAACTCTCCCAGGACGCAGCCGCGCGCCCCCGGGTCCCGCGCCGCTGCTGCGTCCAGTCCTCTCCCGGCTCTCTCCTTTCTCCAGCCCGGCAGGGCCCCCGCAGGGTCTGGCACCGAGTGGTTGGCGGACGGAAGAGCTGCTGGCCTTATCCTGTGTCTTTGGTCCGGGTTCCGCCGCTCCCGCCGAGGCCGCCAGCTTCGCGCTATGTTTTACCAACCCCCTTCCCCCAGCACTGACACTGGCGTGTCTGGGCTAAGCCCACACCATTCCGCCTGCGTTGGAAAAATGTTCCCGGTACCAGAAGGAAAGAAAGGACTGGAGTTGGTCTCCATGGCAACTGAAAGAAAGAGGTGGGTTATAAATCCCTCGCCACCCTCCTGTGGTGAAGGAGGGTGTGGGGGAGCCGGGATGTAGGGTTGGCTTTTTGAAGGAGAGTCTGGACCTGCTTTCTGTGTCGTTTATTGGGGGAGTTGGGAAAATTTGGTGGCCACCTTGGAGCCTGGGTTGTTGAAGGGTTTTGTTTTTGTTTTTATCATCTCATTCACTTCTTTTTTGGAGGTGAGAACATGATCACCTCCAGCCCTTAGATAGTGACCTCTCACGCCCACCAAAAGGCCCCTTCCAAACATCCCTGGAATTATTTCCCAGGCTTATAATGATCCAGCCCCGCTCAGTATCCCCAAGGCACTCCCTTACTCCCGTCAAGTTTAATGGGGCTGTGGGTTTATCTTGCTAATTTTTTCATAAGTGCCTCCCCAGGGAGACTAATGTCCCTTTGGGGTGATAGCCCTGCCTTTCTTCACCTTTCCTATAATGACTGCTAGTAGTGGGCCGAACAAGAAAAATGAGCTGCTCTCTAGCTTGTTGAATAAAATTAACATGCACTAGCTCCTTTACTGTAGGAATTATTCTGGAAATTCTATCTCCTAACTCGGGAAATTCCAACCCCTGTAGGAGGCCACCCCAGATGGATCCTGCGAGAAACAACAATACCTGTAGCTGCTCTAGAAATTTCAGTGCCCAGCATTGCCTATCTTTCTGCCTCTCCCACACCCACCTACCCAAAATATGGCCCTCCTTGACCTGAGGGAGCTTCCATCCAAGGCTGTGAGCTCTGATAGGTCATCCTGAAGAATCTAGAATTAGCATCTGAGGCTGCCAAGATGAACCCCAACTTCAAAACACCACCTGAAATATGTGTAGCATTTTTTTTCACAGTGTACAGAGTGCCTTTACATGTCAACCCTCCCAGCGACATTTGGATAATGAAGCAACATATCCAGAGACACATAGCTTTAAAAATGGCAGAGCCTGTATTCCTGAGTTCAGTTACGCTCTGCCTTATGAGAATCAAAAGGCATAGATTCAGTGAAATTCCAATAAATTACCAGAAGGTTTTTTTTCTCCTCTTAAATGTATGCATGTCTTCACTCTCTAGTGTGAACCTTCTGATAGTTTGTGACTATTATCAACGTTTATCCAAAATAACAGGGAAAGCATATACTAATGGCAATTAGTCAAGGTATTTATGATCCTAAACCAAAAGTGAAAGTAAATGGAATAAAAGAAAACAGGAAAGAATACATATTGTATGATTATATGGGATGCAGCATTAATAAATGATGTTAGAAGTCAGGATGATGATTACTTTTGGTGAAGGGGAAGAGAATAGTGATGAGGGCAACAGACGGGCTTCTAGAAGGCTGGTAATGTTGGTCTCTTTGGATGGTGGTTACATGGATGTGTTCACCCTGTAACATTTCATCAAGATGTTCACCTGATTTGTGCACTTTTCTCTGTTACAATTAAATAAAGCATTTCTTTAAAAAAAAATTAGAAGATTTGCCCTGGAGCAAAGTAAACCCATGATTAAACTTAGATTTTTTTCAAAAATTGAACTGAAAGTAGCAATTAAAGGATTCCTTTTGTGGTTATTAAAATAGTTTGTAGGGAGAGCATTATTAAGTTCTTTATCATTTCTCTCAGTTATTTACCCTTGGGGAGAAGCCAATTTTCTGGTACATACCAGAATAAGGAGCACAGGGGTCATAAAGCATAATGCTTCAGAGGAACTAACCAGTTCTTAATGTAATGACTTGCAAATCTAGAGCCATTTCAGTGACAAAACATCATATAGAAGATACAGTTACCATATTAGTTGACTGTTGGTTGGGAAAAAAATAACTCCAAAATTTAGTGGCTTTAAACAATAAATATTATGTATTATCTTAGTTTCTGTGGATCAAGAATTTGGAAATGACTTAGCTGGGTGGTTCTTTAACCAAGTTGTAGTCATGTGAGGACATACTGGGCTGGAGGATCCACTTCCAAAATGACTTGTTCACATGGCTAGCAATTTGGTACTGGCTGTTGACAGAAGGCCTCAGTTGCCCCAACATGGCATAGGGTTGCGTGAGTGTCCTCACAACATGACAGCTCCCTTCTCCCAGAGCTACTGACCCAATAGAAAACATGCAGAAGTCGAGATGTCTTTGAAGATCTAACCTGAGAAGTCACACCATCATTTCTGCAATTTCCTATTATTAAACAGATCAGCCCAATTCAGCATGAGTTGGCACTACACAAAGATGGGAATACCAAGAGGGAGCAAATCATTGGAGGCCATCTTGGAGCCCACAGTCTGCCCTCTAGCCCCCAGTGGATGTGAGGAGATTCACATCCTCATATCCCACTACTTTCTAAGAGTGGGAACAGACCCTCTCTGAGTTTCCATTGAGTTTTCTTGGAACTAAAGTAGAACATCACTGGGGAGTAAAAAAGTATGATCACAGGAGTACTAAGCTGCTGAGGTTTAAAGACCAAGTTCTTCTCCTTTCCCTGGGCTCTTGAGGCCAGGAAAATGAAGAATCTTGATCAGGCCCCTTTCAAGCACAAGGCCTTTCTTCCAAAGTGTAATGGTGTGGGGAATTTGGGAAAACCTTGCCTCTCTCTCTCCCAAAGGACAAAGATACAAAGAACATGAAGTTCTTAAGCCCTAGACATTCTTTCAAGGCTTGGCCCAGACCCAGAGTCCACTACTGGAGAGAGAGAAATGTGTGTTATATGTACATGCATGTAACACAGAGTCTAGCCTGTGGCATTCTGATGGCCTCACCAGTGCTCACAAAAAATAAGAAAGTATTGCCTACTTTTCATGAGTAAGACTCACCTTGTCTCAGAAGAATAAAGAAAATTCAAGATGCAATACAAGTCCAGAATTCAGTTTCCTAAATATGGAAGATCCTGTACCTTCCCAACTATTGAAAAAGTTGAAAATTTCTCATAGTTTTCAAGCTCAAGGCCTATCTTGCATTAAGTATCACTGGTTTGGAGACTATTACTGGATAACCACTAATAGTTCTGCACTTAAGTAGTTGTGAGAAAAGCAATTTATGCTCAAATAAGAAAGGTAAATATGAGGTCAAGTGCAACTTAAGGCTTTTAATATGCTGAAGGGTATGATGAATCTCTAAGAGGAGGCTAGGGTATGTGGCTGTCTTTCAAATGTAATTGACCACGGGACCCTTTTCTTCATAGAATTTGTTCCTCAGGCACACTGAAAAATTCACCTGTGGGTATAAAAATCACTTTCATTTCTGTTATATTAAAGGCAATGAAAATGTAATTCTTTCCATTTTGAAAACTCAATGGCTATTATTATTTTCACTCCCAAATAAACCTACAATAGTCCGTCCCTTATCCTCAGTTTCACTGTCCATGATTTCGCTTTCCACCTTTTCAGTTACCTGTGCTTAACCACCATCCAGAGCAGATGATCCTCCTGACGGAGTGTCAGGTCATTAATAGCCTAACACTGCGTCGCAATGCCTGCATCATTCACATCACTTCCATCTTACCATATAGGCGTTTTATAGTCTCATCACAGGAAGAAGGGTGAGTACAGTACAATAAGATAGTTTGAGACAGACCATGTAACTTTTATTATACTATATTGTTACAATAGTTCTATTTTATTGTTAATCTCTTATTGTGCCTAATTTATAAATTAAATTTTATCATAGGTATGTGTGTATAGGAAAAAAAACATGTAGGGTTGGGTACTATCTGTGGTTTCAGACTTCCACTGGGGGGGTCTTAGAACTAGTTCCCTGAGGATAAAATGGGACTACTGTATCTGTAAAAGCATCTGTTTTGACCCCAATACTGTTCAATAAAAATACAATTAAAACCACATGTGTAATTTCGAATTTCTAGTAGCCACATTTTTAAAAATAAAAGGAAATAGTATTTTAATAGTATATTGAGGAGTGTTAATAAGTAATACTTTTAATAATGTATAATTGTAAAATTGAAATAATTGTATATTAAAATTTTTTAATAGCATGTTTTATTTAACCCAATATATTTAAAATATCATTTCAACATGTGGCACTAGTCACATTAAAAGTAGTCAGTAGCCACAAGTGTCTAGTGGTTATCACACTAGACAAAGAAGCTGTAATCAGTAAATTATTTCAGTTGCCCCCTAAATGTTCTGTCTCTACAGTTCTCTGCTCTCCACTCCCACCTCTCCCAGGTTAGTGTTCTTTTTATCATCTCCCCCCTATTTAAAAGGTTTTGGTGGCTTCTTTGCCTACAGAACAAAGTCCAGACAACTTAACATCCTAGTTACCTCATGAATGCGACAGCAGGTAGCATCTTTCCACCTTTCCTCATTACTACCCATATGTTTACATAACCTGTTCTAACAAAATAAATCACATTGTTTTCCAGA